TCTACTATCTATCTATCTATCTATCTATCTATCTATCTATCTATCTATCTATCTATCTATCTATCTATCTATCTATCTATCTATCAATCGAATCGAACCAGTAATATCTATCTATCTATCTATCTATCTATCTATCTATCTATCTATCTATCTATCTATCTATCTATCTATCTATCTATCAAAACCAGTAATAACTAGGTTAACGCGTGCTTTCACATCTGAGAGCCGCCCGCCACATCCCCGACTAATGAGCAAACTGCATGCTGTCTTGTCAGCGGTCGTTGTGTGCCGCCTGTCACTACTTTTCCCTACAAAGACCAGCAAATTGTGGGCTAAAGAGCGGGCCAGATACCGCCCGGGGCTGATGTCCCGTGTTTTGCCCTTCCGTCCGCGAGACGTGTTGATAATTTCCGCTTTGATTCGTCAGTTTCATACCATGATTTTCATAACAAGGTATATTAGATAGTGGTTTGGGACAAAGTGTTTTTTTTCTTCTCTTCCTAGTTGTTGCTTTTTAAATATTTTGTTTGTCATGTTTCGGGTTTTCTCTTCGTTCTTTTGTGGGTTTTGTTTATTTTTTTGTTTGTTTGATTGTTTGCTTTATTGTACTGCTTTTTTATTATGAGGAAAGGGGGCGAGGGGTTGGGGAAAGGGGGGGGGGGGAGGAGTTAAACGTCACTTTCAGGTCATATTTTTTCTCTCATTCTACGGTACATCATCCTTTAGTTTCTTTATATAAGGACTCAGTGTGTTCCAGCCCTTAAAGTTTAGTGACCCTGGCAATGAAGAATGGTCTTTATTCTTCACCATAACTAGGCTTTGGTTGTCAAGCAGACGTTGACTTCTTGGTCCATGAAAATACCTCAAAGAGAACAGACTGCGGCTGTCATAGCTTCTAGTGCTATCAGTATAGTGACTCTGGCAAGGAAGAAAGGTCTTCATTCTTCACCATGACAAGGCTTTTGGTTGCCAAGGAAACGTCGACGTCTTGGTCCATAAAAATACCTCAAAGAGAACAGACTGGAACTGTAATTTCACGGCGAACATTTTGCAAATTCCTTATTTGGAAAATCAGGACAATAATAATAATAATATTATCAAATCTAAATTGAACACAAGTAATATGAACTATGTACTTCGTTTATATTCTAGATATCATGAAGAGCTGTTTCGTCCTTTAGTTTTAGTTTTAAGACAAAAACGTTAAACTGGAAAAAGAACAGTTACGAGGTACAGTATTCAAACTTTATCTTCATGTAATCAGTTGACTCTATATGGACTTTCAAGAAGTCGGATGAAAAGAAATTGCCACTGTTTATGTGGTTGTAAGTGGTTTTGCGAAAGTATGTGAGTGTGTCCGTGTATATACGAGTGTGTCCGTGTATATACGAGTGTGTGTGTATATATATA